CACCGGGTTTATGCATGACCGTGTAGATCTTTGTGTGGAAGGTGATTGATGATCCAATGCTCAATGATTGATTCATTCGCTCACCAGCGCCCAGTCGACTTATCATTATTATATTGCTACTACTTTGACAACTGTTTCCATGAACTTCACTTATTGATTCAGTCTTTGAGACTGACTGCTTCCTCTCATCCACACCGTGTTGAACCACCACATTGCTTTACAGTTTTCTGCTCTCCGCTTCTTCCCTCACACTGCTTGACTTTGGAATTTCCTCCCAATGTCTATTCCCCAAGCTCGTATAACATTGCTCAATTCAATTAAGGGGCCATCCATAAATGACGTCACGCACCTAGGGGGGGAGGGGGGGTCAGACATTTGTGATGATGTGTGACGAGAGGGGAGGGGGGGTTAGAGAAATGTGACGTCACATCAAAATACACAACTTTTACAGGTAGGAACAATGTTCCACACTGTCCACCAGGGATTATTTGTGTGTCATGCATAAATATATATAATATATAAACAGCTCTTTGATTGGTGGAGACCGACTGCCAGGTACGAAGAGGGGAGGTGCCTAAGGAGGTGGGTCAGGGGAGGGGCCTAAGGAAGGGGAGAGTCAGGAGAGGGGCCTGAGGGGGGGAGGGTCAGAGGAGGGGCCTAAGGGAGGGAATAAGGGGAGGGGCCTAAGCAAGGAGGAGGGGCCGATAGTTAAGGGGGCATGCTACCTGGCTGGCTGCCTGGCTACCTCAAGTCAAGTTATCTTTTATACAGGTAGGAACAACAGGTTCCACACTGTCCACCAGGGATTATGTGTCTGTCTTGCATTGAAATGCAGCCCACCCATGCACCCCCCCCCCCCCCACCGACCACCGAGCAGGGCCACGATTGGTTGAGGATGTCGGGAAGGGTGGGGGGGAAGGTAAACACGCCCACTCATCCAACTGCTCCCCCCCCCTGAACGCCGCGCTGAGTGTGCGTGTGTGAGAGTGAGTGTGTGAGTCTGAGAGTGTGAGAGTGAGTGTATCTGTGTGTGAGTCTGGCAGTGTGAGTGTGTGTGTGTGAGTCTCAAAGTGTGAGAGTGAGTGTGTGTGAGGGTGAGTGTTTGTGTGTGTGAGTCTCAAAGTGTGAGAGTGAGTGTGTGTGAGGGTGAGTGTTTGTGTGAGAGTGAGTGTGTGCAAGTCTGAGAGTGTTGGAAACATTTAGGCTGGCCTGCCTACGATCCATCCTGGGTTTAACCAGGCTGGATTGTGTGAGGAGCTCACAAGTCCTTGAAAGATCTGGGCAAAGTCCCATCAGTGAGCTCCTCCGGCAGGCAAGGCTGCGTTGGCTGGGTCATGTAGCCCGCATGCCCAGCCACCGCATGCCTAAACAGCTTTTGTTCGGCCGGATCGAGGGGGCTAAACGGGCGCGGCACGGGCTAGAGAAGAGATGGAGTGATGTGGTACAGGAGGACGTGGAGCTGAGTGGACTTGCCGATGACTGGTACCAGCGGTGTCAAGATCGGCCTCAGTGGAGGAGGCTCGTGAAGGACGCTACTGGGCAGTTGGAGGAAGTCGCCCTCCAACAACAACGGAGGGCGGAGGAGCGACACTCACAACAACGAGCAGAGCGCCGGGTGGCTAAAGCACAGCAAGTTGGTACAGTAGGGGGCACAGGTGGTGCATCAGCCAGTCATCTCGGTCATCTCGGTCAGTCGACCCGTGGCACCTGGGTCTGCCCCGTGACCTCCTGCCAGCGGGCGTTCGACACTTCACGTGGCCTCAAGGTGCACTTGGCCTGGCACAAGCGTCGTGGTGATGTCACCGCCACTTAGTGGTGAATGGCGGTTGTTGTTGTTGTGTGTGTGAGTCTGAGAGTATGAGAGTGAGTGCGTGTGTGTCTGAGAGTGTGTGTGAGTCTGAGAGTGTGTGTGTGTGAGTCTGAGAGTGTGAGTGTGTGAGTCTGAGAGTGTGAGAGTGAGTCTATGTGTGTGTGAGTCTGAGAGTGTGAGAGTGTGTGTGTGTGAGTCTGAGAGTGTGAGAGTGTGTGTGTGTGAGTCTGAGAGTGTGAGGGTGAGTGTATGTGTGAGTCTAAAAGTGTGAGAGTGAGTGTGTTTGTGAGTCTGAGAATGCGAGTGTGTGTGTGAGTCTGAGAGTGTGAGTGTGTGTGTGTCTGAGAGTGTGTGTGAGTCTGAGAGTGTGAGAGTGAGTGTATGTGTGTGTGAGTCTGAGAGTGTGAGAGTGTGTGTGTGAGGGTCTGTGAGTGTGAGAGTGAGTGTATGTGTGAGTGTGAGTGTATGTGTGTGTGAGTCTATAAGTGTGAGGGTGAGTGTGTGTGTGCGAGTCTGAGAGTGTGAGGGTGAGTGTTCGTGTGTGTGAGTCTGAGAGTCTGAGAGTGTGAGTGTGTGTGTGTCTGAGAGTGTGAGTGTGAGTCTGAGAGTGTGTGTGTGTGTGAGTGAGTCTGAAAGTGTGAGTATGTGAGTCTGAAAGTGTGAGAGTGAGTGTAGGTGTGTGTGAGTCTGAGAGTGTGAGCATGAGTGTATGTGTGAGTCTGAGAGTGTGAGTGTGTGAGTCTGAGAGTGTGAAAGTGAGTGTATGTGTGTGAGTCTGAGAGTGAGTGTATGTGTGAGTGTGAGGGTGTGTATGTGTGTGCGAGTCTAAAAGTGTGAGAGTGAGTGTGTGTGTGAGAGTCTGAGAGTGCGAGTGTGTGTGTGTGAGTCTGAGAGTGTGAGAGTGAGTGTGTGTGTCTGAGAGTGTGTGTGTGTGAGTGAGTCTGAAAGTGAGTGTGTGAGTCTGAGAGTGTGAGAGTGAGTGTGTGTGTCTGAGAGTGTGAGAGTGTGTGTGTGTCTGAGTGTGTGTGAGTCTGAGAGTGTATGTGTGTGAGTGAGTCTGAAAGTGAGTGTGTGAGTCTGAAAGTGTGAGCGTGAGTGTATGTGTGTGTGAGTCTGAGAGTGTGAGAGTGAATGTGTGTTTGACAGTGTGAGAGTGTGTGTGTGTCTGAGTGTGTGTGAGTCTGAGAGTGTATGTGTGTGAGTGAGTCTGAAAGTGAGTGTGTGAGTCTAAAAGTGTGAGAGTGAGTGTATGTGTGTGTGGGTCTGAGAGTGTGAGGGTGAGTGTATGTGTGTGTGAGTCTGCTAGTGAGTGTGAGTCTGAGAGTGTGAGCTTGAGTGTGTGTGTGTGAGTCTGAGAGTGTGAGCGTGAGTGCGTGTGTGTGTGTGAGTCTGAGAGTGTGTGTGAGTCTGAGAGTGTGAGAGTGTGTGTGTCTGATAGTGTGTGTGCGAGTCTGATAGTGAGTGTGTGTGTGAGTCTGAGAGTGTGAGTGTGTGTGTGAATCTGAGAGTGTGAGGGTCAATGTGTATGTGTGAGTCTGAGAGTGTGAGTGTGAGAGTGTGTGTGTGTGTCTGAGAGTGTGAGAGTGAGTGTGTCTGAGAGTGAGTGTGTGTGTGAGTCTGAGAGTGTGAGAGTGAGTGTATGTGTGTGTGAGTCACACTGCCCATCAGGGATTATGTGTCTGTCTGTCTGTCGTGCATACACGGAATTCCGCCCACCCATGCACCTCCCCACCGAACACCGAGCTACGCCGCGATTGGTTGACGATGTCGGGGAGGGTGGGGTGGAAGGGTAAACATGCACACTCATCCAGCTGCCCCCCCCCGAACGCCGCGCTGTCCAACCAAGTTCCTACCTGCCCACTCCGAAGTAACGTGTTCATATAAACAAACACGTTCTACTTAATTAAATATAATTGTTATAACACTCATTTTTATACATTTTCATTATTAACTATTTGATTATTTAAATTTACTAAAGTTACCTTTTATTTAGTCCATGAAAGAGCATTTTGCTTCTCCATGGGAGAATGAAGCATACGTTTTGTAAACAATTTTAATGATTGTAAATAAACATTTTGATTTTAATTATTCTACCAGGGCTTTTCATTCTGTGGATTGAATATGCGATTGTTATAATTGTACTCTACATTTTGCTTCGTTCTACTAAAAAATGTAAAGTATTTTTTATAGTTAGAATTACTTTTAATATTTAATAATTATTAGAGAATTTCAATATAATATTCTGAACATCTGCAGTTTTAGTTAGACGTTGAATATTTTCAAGTGAATTTTATGCTAAATTTCAGCTTTCCAACGCCACCTTTTTAATACATATGTAGTGGGTACAAACTTGTAGACTTCCTCTTGGAGGCAACACGTTTATTAACAGTAAACGCAATAACAGTTGTCCCTGACACAAAGGAGTACGGCCCCTTCCAGCCAATATCCGGGCTCGCGTGTCCTATTCGACTCAGGATTACGCTCTCTATTGAGTCCTCCGCTATCGGGACCTAGGGGAGGCTATTCTGACCCGACCTTGCCAGGGTCTCCGGGTCTCACCCCTGGTCCACTCGAACCGGCTCTGACAAGAGCCTCGGTTGAGGGGTCCCAGGGCTCTAGACTTGAGATGTATTCGGTTCTTCAAGTGGACGACAACTGCCGGTCCCGTTGAGAGGACCGGCTTTTATACACGAGTCGGGGCTCACTCCACCCCGAGCCAGGGTCCACCCCTCCGGTCACGAGATACCCAGGGGGGGGGTTACCTTGGCTTAACTGCCACTCAACCTACTAAGCCTCCCATCCGCCCCCTGTTGACCTATCGGCGTAGTAGCAGGCTAACGTTCACGTAGCGCTTTAATAATGGCGCTACACGTTTTCTCCTACAACATCAGAGTGCAGCGCCACATTAAATACGCCCTACAATGACAATAGTTTAAGGTTATTTTAAGATTTTTTTTTCAAAATGGAAATATGGTTTTTGGGGGGGGCAGAGCTTTGTGACGTCATATTTGAGGGGGGTCTGACTTTTTGTGACGCCGTGTGACGAGGGGGGGAGGAGGGGGTCAAAAATCGGCCTAAATCGCGTGACGTCATTTATAGACGGCCCCTAACGTATTTTGTCTTATATATTACTACTTTCATCGTGCATATCTTTACTGGTTGCTTGATGTGTTTGGGCCTTGTTGTTCAGAACGTCTAACACCTTTACCCCAGATGCTGTTATGCTACAATCTCGAGTGGATGCATTTATGAGGGCCCCAACCATGGCCACTTCCCATGGCCGTCCACGTGATGGTGGAAGGGATTTCACACTTTCAAATGTAAGTAGAATACGGGGCATGATGATGATGACGAAAAGGTATTTTATGACATCCAGTATACTGATCACGGACATAATAATGTAATAACTCTTTGGTTCTTTCGGTAAAGTCACGTAGAAAGAAAATAAATTAAATAGAATACGACGTTTCGATTGCAACACAAGCAGTCGTCATAAGGTAGACTAAATTTGAGAGAGAGAGAGACAACACACAGACACACAGACAGACACACAAGCAGAGAGAGACAACACAGAGACACACAGAGAGACATACAACATTGACACACAGAGACCCAATGCCTCTGTGTCGCGGCCTTAAATAGAGAGAGGGGGGGGCAGAGAGAGAGGTGGGTCTGCTGGAGCAGAGAAGTTAGCATATCAATGAGAGAGCTGTGTGGAAATCCACCTCGTGGCGGCCGGGGGAGAGAAAGAGCGAATGGAACTATGAGAGCCTGGTAAAATTTTAGAGAGAGAAATAGACAGTTTGAGAAAACAAACTTAGCAATTTTTTGGAAATGTAATGCAATGCAGAGAGTTATCTAACACAGTTAACGCCAGGCTATGTGTTGACTGTGTGTTAGCCGAGTAATTCCTGCAGTCACGAAAGCTTCAAATCAATAATGTAATATTTACAAATTTGCCAAGGAAAGCCACACTGAGCCCGAAGACTCTTTTTAAGGAGGGTCCTACTGCATTGGGATGTTTGGCTACCACCAATTGCGTTATGTGTGTTTATGCATGTGAGAAAACCAGAGAACCTTTGAGAAGCCAATACATAACAGGGGGAGAAAATACAAACTCCTCACAGAAAGGCGACTGAGCCAGGAATCAAATCCAGGTCCTTCTTTGTGTGAGATATGTGTTACCATACTCTTTGGTTTTTTCGGTAAAGTCACGTGGGTAAAACAATAAAATAAATGAAAACTAAATTAAATCACGACGTTTCGGAGGCAACACAAGCCTCCCTCATCAGGTGTAAAAAAGGCACAGCAAAATAACTGTAGCGAGAGTTATTTGTGATGAGACATTGTTACATAGGGAAAGAGGGGGAGGAGCCAAGGAGGACAGGCGCAGGATGGGGGGGGGGGGCTAGGAAGGTGAGGGTGAAAGACAGAGCCACATGAACAGGACCCTGCGGGGTGGGCTGGTAGGAACAAATAACCAAAGAATATAAACATAATGTATTATTACACTTGTTTAGCCAGGAAAGCCCCACTGAGTCAAAAGGTTTTTGTAGGGTCCTGCCAAGTGTTTGCAGTAGGGGGCGATGTTGCTACACCTAATCGGACGATACGAAGGGAGAGATTGAGGCCTAGTTCTAGGCTTTAGGCCTAGCTGTAGGCTTTACGCCGCCGTGAGTTAATTTTTAATTGAAATGTTTTAATTATTAATGTAAAAGCTTTAAATTTAAATGTTTCTATTTAAAAACATGAGGGAATGTAACATTGTTAAACATTAACTCCCTTTCACACATGCGGGGGTACGATACGAAGGGAGAGTTTCAGGCCTAGTTCTAGGCTTTAGGCCTAGCTGTAGGCTTTACGCCGCCGTGAGTTAATTTTTAATTGAAATGTTTTAATTATTAATGTAAAAGCTTTAAATTTAAATGTTTCTATTTAAAAACATGAGGGAATGTAACATTGTTAAACATTAACTCCCTTTCACACATGCGGGGGTACGATACGAATGGAGAGTTTCAGGCCTAGTTCTAGGCTTTAGGCCTAGCTGTAGGCTTTAGGGCGCTGTGAGTTTTTTTTATTTAATTTCAAAGTTTTAATTAAAAGCTATCTCAGGGAATTATTAGGGCGCTGTGAGTTTTTTTATTTAATTTCAAAGTTTTAATTAAAAGCTATCTCAGAGAATTATAAGGAAATGTTACACGTGTTTAGCCAGGAAAGCCTCATTAATTTAAATGTTTTAATTGAAAGCTATCTGAGGGAATTATAAGGGAATGTTACACTTGTTTAGCCAGGATAGCGTCACTGAGTCTAAAGGTTTTTGTAGGGTCATGCCAAGTGTTTGCAGTAGGGGGCGATGTTGCTACACGGACGGACGGTCGGACGGACAAACGGACGGACGATATAATCTATTGGTGTCTGGTCCACTTCGTTCCTACCAGTATAACCATGTTAAACCTGAACCGCGACTCTCCCCCGTTCTGCGTCCCCCCTCCCCCATCCGTGGCTCCGTCCTCCTTCACCCTCACCTTCCGAGCTCCACCCACACCCCACCTCCCCATTCTGCACCCGTCCTCCTTGGCTCCTCCCCCTCCTCTTTCCCTATGTAACAATCTCATCACAAATAACTCTCGCTACAGTTATTTTGCTGTGCCTCTTTTTTACACCTGAGGGAGGCTTGTGTTGCCTCCGAAACGTCGTGATTTAATTTAGTTGTTTTCATTTATTTTATTTTATTGATTGTTTTACCTACGTGTCTTTACCGAAAAAACCAAAGAGAATAAATTCTTGCAGTCACGAAAGCTTCAAATCTAGAATATGTGTTACCATTGCACAACCCTACCATCAGGGTGTAAATGATGTTGCTATTTGTATCCCCTCTCCTATAGCTAAAGGAAAAGTCGGTAAATTCTGCCTTTGAAAAGGAGAAACAGGAAGACTCCCAGCATCTCCATTCACCAAACGAAAATATGTCACTCTCAGCTAAGCTGAACACAGAAGTGGATGATCCTACCCTTGATGTTGAGGTGCCTTAAATCATATATGCGCTGTACTTTTCAGGAGAACGATATGCCATTATATTTAAATGTACATTCATATTTCTCCACAGTGGTTATATAATTAGTGGGGAAATATAACATGGCCCAGCAGTAGCTCATACATCACTTTTTGCAGAGCTTCTCCATTTTAATCTGGTAGGCCACCCTGGTTATTACCGAGGATGTACAGTGAGGGAAAAAAGTATTTGATCCCCTGCTGATTTTGCACGTTTGCCCACTGACAAAGAAATGATCAGTCTATAATTTAATGGTAGGTTTATTTGAACACTGAGAGACAGAATAACAACAAAATCCAGAAAAACGCATGTCAAAAATGTTATAAATTGATTTGCATTTTAATGAGGGAAGTAAGTATTTGACCCCTCTACAAAAAATGACTTAGTACTTGGTGGCAAAACCCTTGTTGGCAATCACAGAGGTCAGACGTTTCTTGTAGTTGGCCACCAGGTTTGCACACATCTCAGGAGGGATTTTGTCCCACTCCTCTTTGCAGATCTTCTCCAAGTCATTAAGGTTTCGAGGCTGACGTTTGGCAACTCAAACCTTCAGCTCCCTCCACAGATTTTCTATGGGATTAAGGTCTGGAGACTGGCTAGGCCACTCCAGGACCTTAATTTGCTTCTTCTTGAGCCACTCCTTTGTTGCCTTGGCCGTGTTTTGGGTCATTGTCATGCTGGAATACCCATCCACGACCCATTTTAAATGCCCTGGCTGAGGGAAGGAGGTTCTCACCCAAGATTTGACGGTACATGGCCCCGTCCATCGTCCCTTTGATGTGGTGAAGTTGTCCTGTCCCCTTAGCAGAAAAACACCCCCAAAGCATAATGTTTCCACCTCCATGTTTGACGGTGGGGATGATGTTCTTGGGGTCATAGGCAGCATTCCTCCTCCTCTAAACACAGCGAGTTGAGTTGATGCCAAAGAGCTCCATTTTGGTCTCATTTGACCGCAACACTTTCACCCAGTTGTCCTCTGAATCATTCAGATGTTCATTGGCAAACTTCAGACGGGCATGTATATGTGTTTTCTTGAGCAGGGGGACCACCTTGCGGGCGCTGCAGGATTTCAGTCCTTCACGGCGTAGTGTGTTACCAATTGTTTTCTTGGTGACTATGATCTCAGCTGCCTTGAGATCATTGACAAGATCCTCCCGTGTATTTCTGGGCTGATTCCTCGCCGTTCTCATGATCACTCCACGAGGTGAGATCTTGCATGGAGCCCCAGGCCGAGGGAGATTGACAGTTCTTTTAGTGTTTCTTCCAGTTGCGAATAATCACACCAACTGTTGTCACCTTCTCACCAAGGTGCTTGGCGATGGTCTTGTAGCCAAGTCTAGCCTTGTGCAGGTCTACAATCTTGTCCCTAACATCCTTGGAGAGCTTTTTGGTCTTGGCCATGGTGGAGAGTTTGGAATCTGATTGATTGCTTCTGTGAACTGGTGTCTTCTATACAGGTAACAAAGCTGAGATTAGGAGCACTCCCTTTGAGAGTGTGCTCCTAATCTCAGTTCGTTACCTGTATAAAAGACACCTGGGAGCCAGAAATCTTTCTGATTGAGAGGGGGTCAAATACTTATTTCCCTCATTAAAATGCAAATCAATTTATAACATTTTTGACATGCGTTTTTCTGGATTCTATTTGTTGTTATTCTGTCTCTCACTGTTCAAATAAACCTACCATTAAAATTATAGACTGATAATTTCTTTGGTAGTGGGCAAACGTACAAAATCAGCAGGGGATCAAATACTTTTTTCCCTCACTGTATTAACTGAAAAATATATGCACCCTGCTTCACATTGGACTTAAAAATATCCTATGAAGCCAATGGAAAAGAGTAGGCCATTATGTGCCAGTATCGTAGTTCAAAGTGCCAAATATATTTTTTTACCTATAAATTACTTAATTGCGATTACACACAGCAACATTTCACCCAACTGTGAAACTACAGGTTGTGTGAAAAATAGCACCTATGTGATAGCCTCGTGTAAAAGTACTAAATTATCAAGCATTTTTTTTATTGCAAGCCCACTTTTATGATCTTTATTCATATTATTTTGAATCTACAGATGCTGGCGCCTGATGGACATCCACGCACACTGCTGTCTCTGCCTCCATTTCCTGTGGCGTTGGAGCAGGCATCGCGAGCTCGCTATCTCCGACATAGACACCCAACCTCCACTGAAAAGGCTCTTACACTGAGCCAAATATTTTCACACTAATACAAATGTAATTTTCGTACATTTGGTATTCGCGTCAGTCTTAAAGCACAAGGCTATAATATAATCTGCAGTAGTTTCACAGTAGGTAGCAATGTTGCTTTGTGTATTTTTTTTATTTGCAGGTATTTTTTAATTTTAAAAAAATTTGACCGTGATTCCAGCAAACATTACACTCTTTTAGAATGACATCACAGCCTTTTTAGTGGTTAATATGCACTGCAGTAATAACCAGTGGTTGTAGTTCTGGCAGGTATATGTCATTTATTATATTTTTGTATTTGTCTAGAATATGATTGTTTTGTTATACAAAATGACAGAAGCCAATCTTATTTTCCTCATTAGTAGATCTCATATGTGTAATGACAGGGTGCCATCTGTTGACCCGGAGGGATAATCACGGGTATGGGTGCATTATACAATAATCAACTATAAGGGGGGCATAACTGGGCTAAAGGTTAAAGACGGGGTCAGTCGGGAAGCTCCAGGAACCTGCTCGAAGGTTCTAGAAAGGGGGCGTGGCCAGAGCTGGGGCCTGGCCACGCCGAGGAGTATATAAGGGGGACGTGACTGAAGGTTCGGGGGCTGTCGTGGGGTCCGGGTCCTGGCTGCCGTCGCTGTCTTCGCAGTCATCTCTCCATCATCCGACCGCATGGTCGATCCTCTGTATGGCTCCGATCGTCGTTGTCGCTATGTTAGTCAGCCAGCTGTATAGTTACACTCCGACGATGGGGCTGTATGGATGGGTCAGCTATGCATAGCCCATATATATATGTCGCTCAGCGATTGTGCCTGTAAGTGTGAGAAATAAATAAGGAGCCCTCTACATGTCGTGTCTCGGAAGTCGCTGACTACATATGTAACGGATGGATTTGATACATTGTTCAAACACACAGACAGAGAGGTTTTAGTACAAACAAGTTCCTTAGTTATATGTTTTAAAAAATCAGAGCACCAGTTATCAAAAAAGCAACGATACTCGGTTCCAAGAATACATGACACTCCATAAGAGGTTTTTGCTAGTTACATTGCATAAATATATAAATGTGTAATTAAAACCCACCACCACCCGACGCAGCCAACTAGTTACAGGTTGCCACGTAAACAGAACATGCTAATTGAAATTATGTCTGTGTTTGTATATTTGTATGGCTTCGTGTACAAACCTTTGATGGTAGCCAGGAGTTTTGCAGAGAACCTAAAATTGTGTGGACGAAGCACGGCTCTGCCTCACTCTCACTCCCCCGTCTCCTCTGAGCTGCATGAGATTGTGTATGAGTGAGCTGTGTGTATGAGTGAGCCGTGTGTGAGTGGATCGACTGTCAGCTTTCCGTGGCTGCGTCTCTGGCGCTGTGGCCGTGATGTTGCTGCTTCTCGGGGCCTCCGAGGTGCGGGGCGCACCACAACACGAAGTGGGCAGCTCGCGGTCACGTGACGCACTTCAACCAATCCGGGGACGTACATGTTTTGGAGGGGCACACCTCTGATTGGCTGCTTGCTCGCGGTCACGTGACACACTTCAACCAATCTGGGGGCTTTATTCACGGTCACAGAATGACATATCTGGGCTATTAGTATGTGTATTGTATGAATGGACCAGTTTACAGAAATATTTTTTAAATCCGATTTACACTTTCTCTTTTGAGACAATGGAGACCAGACCTCTACAGCTTTACGTCACATGGGTCAACTCCAGACCTTGTTACATAGCTCTCAATTCAAGTTAGACTCCTATCTGTGATGCAAAATTTCCTGAATAAAAAAAATAGATATTCAAACAACCATTAAATAATCATTTATTGTTTTCCTCATTTTCATTGTGATTAGTATGAAAAGAGATAATATGATTGAGACAATTAGTACGTCATCTTTCTGAACACTTAATATTTCTTAACGGTATATCTACGACGTTTACCTGCCAATAGTGGCGAACGTGCCACCACTGGCTCGTGTCGCCACCCACTAACATAGTGTACTAAGATGCAGGAGGCTCGGACGACGTAGTTGGAGGCACACTTATTTATTAACACCAACTTATGTACAGAGACGGGGGGACACAACACTTGAAGGGGTATCGGCCCCTTCACCCGTCTAACAGGGAGACCCAATGTCTAACCTGGCTAGCCTACGCCCAGGTCCTCCACTACGGAGCTAGGGGAGGCTATCTATCCCAGCCCTGGTCAAGCTGGGATCCCGGCACCCTGAGTCTCCAGACCGGCTCTTATAAGAACGTCAGTCTGGGCTCTCGAGGCCATGCCACCGGCTTTCCCTGGTCGGTCCTGACAAGGACAGCGAGCCAGGGGAGTTCCGGGGCCTACTCTAGCTGGTCTTCACTCTTCGCTGGTTAAAGCTAACACTCGACCCCGAGCCCTCCGGCTCACCACCTTTTATAGCAATCGGCCCCCGGGGGGGGGGGGGGGCCGTGGAGGATGCAGGTGCGGACGTCGGTGTGAGCACCGTCTCTGTGTACGGCCATAACCACGCCCCTTGTGTTTGTTACCCATCCGTGCCCATACACCTTCACAATTACACCTCTACATCACCCCCCCCCTGTACAGCCCGCAGCCGTCCCCGGCTGCAATAAAATCCCAACACGATGCCTCCCCCCCCCAAAACTGCGTGTGCCTCGCGTAACATCAACAATAACAATAACAACAACAACAAAGAGAGGAAAGAAAAAATTACAAAAAAAAACCCGACTCGACGCACCCCCCCTGAATAAATACCCCATCCCGTAAAATCAACATATATACACGTACCCAGGACGCCCCCCCCCCCCCCCCGCAAGGGCCCCCCAACGGCCGACCTCACAAAAGTCTGTGCGTTTTGGCGCGTGTTCTTGCGGCGGGCCCGTCACAAGGGGCAGCCCCAGCTTGCCCAGTGGGTGTCGACAGTCCGGGTGTGAGAGTGTCTGGCGTCGCCACTGAGCGACCCCCGACCCCCCCGGGAGGGGTTGGCGGTCGTGAGCCCGTCACTCCTGGTGCACCTGGAGGTGGAACAGTCGGTGTCAAGTTAGACGAAAGCAGTGAAGTCGGGGAGTTGGCTGACCCCTCACACGTTTGGCCACGCGTGTGTGTGTGAGGAACACGGGGCGGCATAATGAACGGTTTTAACCTAGAGGGGTGCACGTACCACCGACGCTTCCCCCACTTGACGTGCACACATTGCGGCCGCAAGACCTGCATGACCTCCACGGGCCCCCGCCACGGCCGTACCATCTTCGACGAGGTCGCCAGTGGCACCTGGGGACAGTGCAACCATGCCCTGTCCCCCGGTTTCTATTGGAGCACATGTGCCCGCCCCAGCCTAAGCCTCTCATTCGCCCTCTGGCGGAGTTCAGAATTTTGTATGGCCACTTCCCGCGCCTCCGTTAATTTCCCGATGTTAAATTTGACGTGGTCGGACAATTTAGAGTTCGCATGCGGCGTCGAGAGCTTCAGCTGAGTCGCAACAGGCGGGTTAGGCTCACGGCCATACATTAATAAGAGAGGCGAAAATCCGGTGGCCGCATGGGGAGCCATCCTGTAGGCTTGCAAAACACTCGCAATGTGAAGGTCCCAATCGGTCTGGGATTCAGAAACCTGCTGGGACAGCATGGACATGATAGTCCGATGCAGCCATTCCACCATCCCGTCAGTTTGCGGGTGATATGGGGAGGTCCGAATTTTCTCCGTACCCAAGAGGTCGCACACCTCGCGGAGGAGGTTCCCCGAAAAATGTTTACCTTGGTCGGTCAGAAGCCGCTCCGGAGCACCTTTGTCGAGGACGTAGCCCTGGACAAAGGCCTCCGTGATGGCTGCTGCCGACTGGTTAGCCAGGGACCAGGCCATAAGCCATCTCGTGAAGTATTCGACCCCTGTCAATAAGTACCTATTTCCTCTGGGTGTAGTGGGAAATGGCCCGAGAATATCTAGTGCGACGAGCTCGTTAATCCGGGAAACTTTTAGCGACTGCAGCGGAGGGTTGGACCCCCTCGCCGGTGGTTTCCGCTGCGCGCATTGAGTGCACGACCTCAGGAGATCACCCACGTCCTTTGCCATGCCCGGCCAGGAGAAATCGAGCTGGAGCATGGCAAGGGTCTTGTGAGTCCCCAGGTGAAGGATCCGCTCATGCACAGCCCACACCACTCTACCCCTCAATGCTGAAGGCACCACCAGCCGTTGGCGGCGGGATCTCCCATCCCAGTGCATTAAAAGTCCCTGGAACAACCCCCACGAGTCAACGTTCGCCGCCCCCTGACCAATCCCACCGATGCGACGGCGCAAAGCGAGGAGGGAGGTGTCCTCCATTTGAAGGCGTCCCCACTCCGCCACGGACAACCCCAGCAAGGAATCCCTCCCTTCTTGCTCGATAGGACCCGAAGTTGAAGGCGCATCGGCGGCAGCCGCAAGGACCAAATCAGCGATCACATTCGGAGGTCTACAACGCCCCGAACCCAAGAGGCAAGCGCACTCTGAAGTGGGCGGCAACCACGACAGAGCGTCAGCGTTCGTGTGGCGGACGCCCTTACGATATGTGGTGACAAAATCGTAGTCTTGGAGAATCTCCAACCATCGAGACAACTGTCCCGACGGTTGTTGAATCCGCAAGGCGTACTGCAGCGCCGCATGATCTGTACGGACGGTGAAACGTCGCCCGTACAGATATGGGCGGTACTGCTGAATGAAATAAACGATCGCCAATAGTTCACGACAGGTAACGCAGTACCGTTGTTCCGCTGGAGACAACACCCGACTACCGTAAGCCACCACATGTTCTCCGCCACCAATGAGCTGCGAAAGCACGCCCCCAATGCCCGTGTTGCTTGCGTCTGTATCGAGCAAGAAGGGTTGTGAGAAATCCGGATAACTCAACGGCGGAGCACCCACCAGGGCGTCCCGGAGGGAGCGAAAAGCAGCCTCCTCCTCCGGTCCCCAACGAAACCTGACTCCCTTGGACGTCAAGGCATGCAAGGGTTTCGCGATTGTAGCGAAGTCAGCCACAAACCGTCGGTAGTACGACACGAACCCAATGAAACTCCTGACCTCCCCCACCGAGGTGGGAGTCGGCCAGGAGCTGACACATTTCGTTTTGGCGGGATCAGTGGCTATCCCCGAGCGTCCAACAATGTGACCCAAATACCGCACCGATTCGCAGAGCAAATGACATTTCTGCGGTTTGAATTTCAAATTGGCAGCCCGCATTTTGAGGAAAACAGCACACAACCTCTGGAGGTGGTCATCGAATGTTTTGCTAAAAACGATGACATCGTCCAAGTAAATTAAACATGAATCCCACTGCAAGCCCGCCAAGACCAGTTCCATTAACCGCTGAAAAGTTGCCGGCGCAGAATGTAAGCCCATCGGCAAGCGGTTAAATTGGAAAAGGCCGTGCGGCATACGGAAAGCAGTCTTAGGTTTAGATTCGTCATCCAGAGGAAGCTGCCAGAATCCAGAAAGTAAATCCAAGGTGGAAAAGAATCGCGCCCCCACTAAGGCATCAAGCGACTCATCCATTCGAGGAAGCGGGTATGCGTTGGCTACTGAAATTTTGTTCAACCGCCGAAAGTCGACACAAAACCGCAGTGAGCCGTCGTGTTTTTTTACTAAAACGATCGGTGCGCCCCAAGGGCTGTTGGAAGGGGATATGATATCGGCGGCTAGCATGTCGTCAACGGCCGATTTGACATGATCCTTTTCAGCGGAACTCAACCGAAAAAAATGTTGGCGGATTGGCGCACTGTCACCCGTGTCAATGTGGTGTCGCAGCAATTTAGTACAGCCAATATCAAATTTGTGTTGACTAAAAACGTCTGCAAACTCCCGCAGGAGAACTCGCAGCCTCTCACGCTGTGAGTCGGACAGGTCCACTGATCCCGCGCAAAGCGCATCCATCCATCCGTCATCACGGTCCGAATGCGGTCGCGACGGAGGATCGGTGCTCACCTGACCCACGAG